TCTATCATTTATCTATCTATCATAAACATACAGTGCTATGTTAGTTTCAGGTGTATAATAATTCAACAATTCTATACATTTGTCAGTGCTCATCAAGATTAAATGTACTCTTAATCTCCTTTATCTATTTCACCCATTCCCCCACCATCCTCCTGTCTGGCAACCATCAGTTTGTTCTCTGTATTTAAGAGATTGAACTTCTTGGTTAGAAGAGTAGCAAAGAATTTTGCAGTCATGTCTTTTTTTTTTTTTTTTTTAAGATGTTATTTATTTATTTGACAGAGAGACAGTGAGAGAGGAAATACAAGCAGGGGGGATGGGAGAGGGAGAAGCAGGCTTCCCGCCGAGCAGGGAGCCCAATGCAGGGCTCAATTCCAAGACCCTGGGATCATGACCTGAGCCGAAGGCAGATGCTTAGTGACTGAGCCACCCAGCACCCCTGTAGTCATGTCTTTTTAATTGTCAAAAGGGGCATAGCTCACCTGTAGTAGATCACATGCTTTCAAAACCAGGCTCCACATTGCCAAAAGAATATTATTTTTAGTATCTAGATTCTGTTATTCTCTCCCCATGCCTATGCTTTAAATATTTCAAGCCTTCTAATCCATACTGCATATATATAGCTCTGTATGATGGGGCCACTGCCTATCTATCTAGTTAATTTTATCTCTTTCCTCTATGTACTTACACTCTAGCAATACCAAGGTACTTATAATTCTTATAATGTTAGCAACTTTTACACACTTTTCTTTGTCTTTTAATACAGACCTGCCTTATTTCAATTAACACACACACACACACACACACACACAAACCCTCCTTCCTCTCTTCTCCCACCACTAAATCTGGGACCACATTTCTTTTTATGCTAATCTGTATAACTAACTAATATATAATTTTAGTCTGACTATTTGTCTCTGCACTAGATTCAGCTACTGGAGGATATAAATGATGATAACTTAATATTTATATTCTCAATACTAAGTGTAGGCCTAACACATGGTAAGTTATTAATAAAATATGTGAAATGAGTGGATGGATGCACTTATCATTGTTGTATTTGCTACAACAACAGTGCCTAGTTTTTCTTAAAGCCAGAGAGGGGAGAGGGTACAAGGGAAGGAGAGTAGGATGTCACTGAAAGAACATAATCTTTCAAACAGACGAAATGTATCTTTTGTTGAAACTTTAGTTCTGCTCTTTCCTATCTAAGTGACTCAGGGTAAGTTATTTAAACTCTCAAATCCATTTTCCTCTTCTTAAAGAAAGGGATGATCCTATTTCTTAAAGGTAGGACTGTAAGTGTGCACACGCACACAAGGGACAATGCTTAGGGAGCCTTTTGGATTTGGGAAGGAACAAATTCCTCATCTAGGTATGTTACTCCAGCCCTTTTTCTTCTTTTTTAAAGATTTTATTTATTTATTTGGCAGAGAGAGATACAACGAGAGAGGGAACACAAGCAGGGGGAGTGGGAGAGGGAGACGCAGGCTTCCCGCTGAGCAAGGAGCCTGATGTGGGGCTCGATCCCAGGACTCTGGGATCACGACCTGAGCCAAAGGCAGACGCTTAACGACTGAGCCACCCAGCTGCCCCACTGGCCCATTTCTTGATAGACCCAAAGAGCTGCTGGTTTTGAGTAAGGCCCAGAACAGAAGAGAGATCTGCAGCAGGTCCAGGTGTGATCCAGCAGATCCAATGAGGTTTACAGTGGCGGTGGCAGACAGGGATGCCCTTAGGGGCCCTTGGGATGTCCTTGTAGGTGAGTTGTAGCACAGGACCTTTGGAGTTTGGAGCAAAGCCTTGCTCTCCCTGCAGATAAACATTTCTTGACCTGTTACTAGGCTCTGTAGCCCCAAGAGAATCTTGATAATGGATCTAATTTTAAATGAAACACAAGTTAAATATTTTTTTTGTACTGTAGACCTGAGTATTTCTGTTACGAAGAAATAGAGAGAGGAAAACAAAGCTGATGAGTATGCTATTGAAGTTCTTTGTCAGAAATTTTATAAATTATAATAACCATGAATTAAATCTTAAGTCAGAGTTATTTTCATATGGCCCTCCAAAATGATTTATGTGAATTGTAGTATATATTATAGAAAAAGCTATGTGACATTGGTGATGAATAATTTTTGATCTGAGAATAGAATCTGTGATTTGAAAATGGTTGAATCATTATAAAATGAGAGCGAGTCAAAATCCATCTGGATATGGACGTGAAATATCTTATTTGTTCTTTGAGATACAGGAACTGGGCAATATTTTATCATACTAGGAAACTTCTTTGCTTCTACATTTAAATATTATCCTCCATCCAAGGTTTTCTTTTTATTTCCTATGCTTTTAATAGGGAGGACATTTTCTAGAGTAGAAATATAAAATCAGATATTACTTGGAGTATATTCTTGGTAAAACAACCTGGCAGTCTTTGGTAGTGAAATATCATCTGTTCAAGGTCAATGACCTCTGTCAAGAAGGTTTTTGGTGATTTTTGTGTGAGACACTAAATATTTCATTGAAAAATAGGTTCCCTTAGGGAATGATTACCTATTAACACTCACCTCAGTTTCCCCTTTGAAATATAAGATATAGAGGATACACTTCAAACAAATACTCTAGACTTACTTTATTCTTACTTTTGATTATCAGCTATGTGGTAAGACTATAAAATTTCTCTTAGTTATTACTATTTGGGCAATGTTTATTTTACAAGTAGGAAGAAGAAAAGAAACAACAAATGTATATTTTAATTCTTCATAATTGCTTTTCAATGATTATGTGGTTACTACTTCAAGAAAGCTTTATAAGTGAGATAATTACAGAAATATTTGATATAAGGCAATTTTTCTTAATATTATTTGAATGTCTTCACATGTTAAAATAATCAAATAAAAAAATGCCTCAGACTTTTTCTGAAATTTAAAAAGCGTTAGGTAGCAACAATAATGAAATCTTTCTTTTCCTTTTGTTTCCCCACCTCCCCCCAACCGCCTGACTCCAAGAAACCAGAGCACTGTGTAGAGAGAGAAGATGTTGAGCAGATCTATAAGTGAGCTTTGTATACTTTCCTTTTTTGTAACATGTTGCCACTTCTGCTATGTTATCTTCTATTAGCTATATTCAGGGAGCTTTGGTTACAAAAATGTGGGTGATAAAAAGAAAGAATTTCAGTGGTTAAAATGTTTAAATAAATACCTCAGTTTGTATGCTGCCTGTTCTCTCTTGACTATGTTTTCCCACTGCTGCCTAAGTGGGAGTCAAACAAGTTCTGAAGTTATTATTATGTATGCATTGATGTATACATGAAGCTATTAACACAGAAATCTTTGACAGGGCAAACTTGTAATGACTTCCCTGAAGCTGTTATCTTGAACTGTCTCTAAATTTTCCTTTCCTCTTTGTTGAACAGATCTTTTTAGGAAAAGGGCATAACATATATAGAGTCAGAAAACATTTAGATTTTGCCTTTTTGTAGGTTCATAGCAGCCAAACTATTTCATTTAAAAAGTGTGAAAAAAAATAATGCTTCTGGGCTAAGAATATATGCCAAGTTTACGCCAGTATCACATTTTTTATGGCTGATTTATAAACCTCTCAAAAAGGATGGAAATGCTGACACATTAATAACTCTGGCAGAATAAGTCCTGCACACTTCGGGAAAAAAAAAATAAAGAAAAGAAATAAAATGGGCAATTCCAGTCTAAAGAATGGAAATTTCTTAAAAAGGATGGGAGATATTTTATGTTTTGCACAAAGAATCTCACTTTTTATCCTTGTTTTGGTAAGAAATAAGTAATTATAGATTATTTTATCTTAACAACAAGTATTTACTATCATTTTACCTATTCATTTAAAATAATCCAATATTAGAATGGTATTCAAAAAGATAAGTGATAGTTTAATGCCATTAAACATGTTTTTTTCTTTTGAAATAATATGTTAAATTTGAATACTGTGAACCTTAAATTATAATGAAGGAAGGCAAAAGTCTTAAATATAACCATGGTAGTCCGTACATTTTTAAATTAATTTAGTAAAATATCAAATATATTTAAAAATTATAATACCCAATGTTCCTACTGGTACAGAAAAGAAAAAAAGATACTATCATACTACTTACTAGAAGGTAAATTTGATACTATATGCTCAAAACCCTACAATTCAAGCATGTAGACTCAATCGTTGCATTTCTAAGTGACTATCCTTAGTTTTTGATTAGGGATTTGGTTAAATATTTATAAATCAATATTGTTTTATATTATTTTAAAAATTGTAAACAACTTTATGAACAACAATAGAGGAGACATTAAATTAATTACGGTGTACCAGCAAATGTAATATTTAGTAAATTTAAAGAACAATCCTTGAAAGATATATAATAAGCTGAGGAAACTGGTACAAATAAAAAACATAGCTACATAAATATAATGTTACAGATATAACAGGATATAAAAAATTAAAATCTTTACCAGTCACTGACATTGAACATGCTAAAATGTTTGCCTTATCACCACATGCATGTTTACAATGTAAATTCTATAGAATCTGGTCTAAGAATTTTGAGTTTCCTCAGCCACTTTGAGATTTCATGAGGGTGAATGAGAGATAATTCTTAGGAGGACATAATATTTGTAAAGACTGTGTTTTGAGTTTCATTCTCTCCTTCATCCCCGTTGCAAGAGAATTTCTTGCCCTCTTTCATCAAGCTTATAGTGGAGATATTTTATGGAGGTCCACAAAGAACTTACATGTGACCCTCCGCCATTAGAAGGTAAGGACAAATGATGGTCTAACTCCCACCTACAAACATCTAGGATAAATGTGGCTTGACTCACAGCCTTGGTGGTTAATCTGATCGGAGCACTGTTCTATGGGGGAACTTACAAGCCCAGACTTGGGTGAAGTAAAGATGAATGAGTTATTGTCAATTAGATGAGGACCACTAGGAAAATAGACCATGCACATGGTCTTCGTAGGTCTTATCTCATTGGGCTGCCTAGAGTGGAGGTTCCAGTAAGAAGAAATTGGCAGTTAAACACCTAAGGGCTGAGGAATGAGTACTAAGCCATCACCTTCGTCATTTACCTGGGACAAGAGAACTGCTGGAGAGAAAAGTCAGCAGATATCTTTTGCAGGGTCCATGAAAAGGCAAGTTCAATCAAGTCAAACAACATGGGCTTACCACAGTGTTTTGAGGTAATTTTTGAAGGCTGATACTCTAAAACTGCAATTAGTGAAAATTAAAATGATCAACTTGGAGAATAGTCAGGTCACTTTGCACTGAGAGGCCTCACATGGCTTTATTGTCAGAGAATTCTACTTTTGAGTCTGGTGGTACCAAAGATTAGAATGAATAATCTCAGACAAATTAATTAACCTCTTCAAACTACAGCTTCCTCATCCATTTTGTAAAGGGGATAATAATGCTACTTAACTCCCAGAGTTAGAGTGAGGATTAAGTGAGATAATGAATACAAAACATTTAATCCAGTGTCTTGTAAGTAGTAAATGCTCAGTAAATCTTAATGACATTATTATCATTATATTGGTTGTCATGCAGAGCAAAACACCTGGGACAATCAGGGGGGGCTGTGAGAAGGCAAACATTGCCGAGGAGCCTTCCTCATTTACGGCTGGGAGACACAGATGAACACGACTTTTCAAGAAGCCTTGTAATCCAAGGCCACTAAACACCGAACTTCCAATGTTTTGAAAGGTCTAAAATGCATTTTTTTTCATTAAAATTCTCAAGCTTCCTGCAAATTGCCAACTAGGAAGAACACAAACAAACTGCCATTTCTTGGAATGCCAGCAATAAATGGAAATTCCACAAAAATATCTATGTCCCCCTGGGAGTATGGCACCAAAAACAACATCCGCTATTTATTCTCGGGACAATTTGTACCTTGCTAGAAAATGACACAGGGACTCCCTCGCTCTCTTCTGTACTATTTAACTTGGAGGGATATAAAGTTCATCACCTCTCCATTTGAACTCTGTTCCTGTCGGTGTCACAAATGGTGTCGTCAGCGGGAAGCTCACAAATGTCTGTAATTAAGAAACAACTTTACTCCCAGGTGCACGTGCAGTCTGTCTATAGGAAGAGATGTTTTTCACCATGTGAACACTCAGGCTATAACACAAAATTTGGAAAATTGAATTAAAAATGTGCGTGTTGTTTTTGTGAAGTCCTGTCAGTGGCTTGCAATGAGTCTGCATGATTGTGGTTGTGGACACATGGCTTTGAATCCCTGGTCTATATTTTACTGAGCATTCACGCTCCTTTCATATATAAATATTTGGCTTGGCAAATCTGATTTCTTTTACCACTGATCCCCGTGATTCATTTTCTGCAACTATGTGGCACGGCCCCCCTGCGGAAAGCCTGATATCTCCTGCTGTTCTGTCCACCTGTTTAGAATTTACATCCAAAATTCATCTAAAACAAACCATTTTCCCCCTGGAGAATAGCGAGTGAATATATTTACAAATTCCAGATGAACTAGATATGTTCTGAGGGCTTTGCAATTTCATATTTTGGAAACTACACTTTGATGTAGCTGGCAATGTCTACTTTCCAGAGGAAAATCAAAACAGAACCCCCTCCTAAAATAAAGCCCAAATGAAACAACACACCAAAAAGAGTTTCTCCTATGCACGTTTCATGAAACATTGTCCTGCCTTTTCACCATGGTGTTCAACATGCCAGAACCAGACACAAATGATTATATGCATTTTAGGTTAGATTTTTCTTAATAAAAAGAGACAGAATTAATTTTCATGGGAATTACGCAATTTTTTCTGAAGTTCTGGGCTACCTGGCTCCTCAGGCAACTCTCCATATGTCACAGCTCAGAGCTCAACTTCCTTCTTCCTAGTAAATTGCATTAGCATAGATTACTTTGGAGTGAACATTGTATAGACTTCTTTAATCAACGCCAGGAGACTCTTCGTGCTTGTAAGCTTATTCATAAGTTTCTCTGTTCTGTTTCTTGAAATAGTTTTGATCGAGGGACTCAAGTAGGGGGCAAGATGGCAGAGCCTCTTTAATTTAATATGCTCCTGCTAGAAAGCTCCAGCTTCTGGAGAGAATTCTGAAAAACAGATGTCCACCTTCCAAAGTGAAAAACATGCATCTCTTTCTTAAATGTCAAAACAATAACAGTAAAGTTCCAGCAGACACACGTAAAGGTTTGAGTGGGTGTCCTACCACCGTAGACCTGGGCCTTATTTTTACACAGCTGAGAAATCCCCCAAGAAAGCACACACATTATCTTACCTGCGCACACGTGCAGTACAGGGAGAAGGCCAGAAAAAGGAAACTGAGAATGAATGATGTGGGCAGGCAGAGATTACAATTTATGGAAGAGGAATTGGCTTGGATAATAGAGGTTTGTGATGCAATTATGACTATCTCTTTAAATAGCCCCCCTCCACCCACCCCGTTTCTTTCCATTGCTCTATTTTAGACTTACCTGAATTCATTTAGTCACAGTTTCCCTATCTCTCCATCAGTACATCGTTTGGTTTCTGTTACCTGTGTATCAGTTTGTTTTCTTCCGAATGCCTGCATTTACGGAATGTGGTCAGGAACTGATAGGGTCCAGAATAAACTGGGTTGATTATTTCTTCCTGTGCAGTGCACACACTGGCAGGAAGGAAATCCCACCTTTTTTCCTCTTCAAAAATAGTGTGTTCACTGTTATATAAGAGAGGACAGATAAAGAGGAGGTTAGCTAGAGTGTCAATATTTCCTATATGGAATGATAAACATTTTAATGTAATTAAGCATTAGGATTAATTTGTTAATCCTTATATTTTCCCTTGTCCATTCAAGAGATGTGTCTCTAATTAAATTTCCCTTTGGCCACACTAATGAAAAGAATATCATCTAGAATTCTAGCCATAGTCAGCATGTGTGGGCAGTAGCGATAAGGCTGGGTAATTGCAGGATTAATAATTGGCTTTTTATTGAGGCTGAAAGCTATGCGCTGTATAGAAACTGACTGAATTACTTGAAATCACATCTATAGACTCTTTGCGTTGTGCTATTTGCTTTGTACTGCTTCCTCTCATAACTCCCTTTTCCCTTTCTTGTGTTTCTCTGATTTTTGCAAGCAGGGTAACAATCATGCTGCGGCTATTCAGTTGTTTCCAGGTCATTCTCTTACTATTGGTTTTACATAATCCTCATAAGCAAGAAGTGCAATTTAAACTGCTGCAGAAGTTCTGTGATTAAGAATACTGACTTTTAATATCTCCATCTCAGTTCCCTTATTTATCGTACAGACCACGGAGTCATTGCTAATGTGGGTGGGTAGACAGGCATCCTTTTCAAATCTTGCAGGGATGAGAAATCACCTTACAACCACACTCAGAGCTTGTTAGCGGGCTGCTAATATATACAGTATACAATTTTTGTCTTTTCCTTGATGGAACTGAGATGGGGCTTGGGAGGGGTGGTGTCCCGAGGAACCATCCTCCATCTACTCTACTCCCCTTCTTAAATATGGAAACAAAACCTTTATGGCTTGGTACAAATTCTTTCTTAGAAAACCCTACTGACCCAGTCACCAGTCAGGTCACTTCATAGTAATATCAGAGGGTGCTAGAAAGAACTCTGATACAGGGCAGTGGACTTCACTTCTTTGCATGACAAAGGTTTCTACACTCTGTGAAACAAGGTCTATTCCCTTGACTTCAGTATTCATTATCCAGTTTTCTGAAGACCGAAAATGGGTAATATGGTTAGGATGGAGCCAAAATCCCCAGAGACTCCCAAGCCCTACAAAGTACTTTCTTTCTTTTTTTTTTTTTTTAAGAGAAAGACTGGCGTGTGGTAATTTCTATAGGAAAACCTGATTATGAGACATGATAAAGTAGACCATGTCTATGAGAATTAACTATCAGCCATAACCAACTGAGTCAACTCTTCACCTGGTTAGTTGTAACCACTGCCCATTCTTGTTCTTCTGGTGATTCCAGTCAGAAAGCTTTTAGGATCTACGATTCTCTGCAGGTTCTGCTTTTGTTAGTATTTGTAGAACCCTAAAATACTGAATGGCTTCCTTGAGAGTTTAGGTATATTATTATTCTTATTTTGGGCAGCTTAATCATTTAATATTCCTTTGCTATCTTCACATATTAATATTTATTAGCATTATCTACTTAGAGCTTTATTTCATACTTGGGGGATACATTTCCTACATCATTTACATAGTGAGTGCTCATGATTTCCAATGCACTTAGCAAAAGAGAAGATTAATCTCTGTAAGTAAAATGTAAACTAAGTACAGTTAAAAATGAGGTGCCGAAATTCAAGGGCAAGTGAAGTTCATGTGGTTCTTTCAAACCACAGATTAACAAAATATGTTTTTATGCATCATACTTTGACTACAGTCTGACTTTTAAAAATCCCTGTTTGGATCCTTCATGTGAGTGCGACACAAAAGTTTCTTTTGTTTTTATAATCTTTGCTCATGGCTTACCCTGATGAAAAGAAATTGTCTTCAAAGATTATTTTCTGCGAATTTCCATAAAGAACGTGATTTATCCTGCACTATGTGTCCATTAACTGTTACTGTTTTCAGTCTGTCAGCTCTTCAACAATCTTTTCCTTAAATTTGTATGCAAAGCTTGTAAAAAACATCTTATTGACTCTTTTATTATTCAACATGTTAATTTAATATTTTTTTGAAAGCTAATAAAATCTAAATGCTGAAGGAAAATGGAACTGTTTACAACTCAGTGAGACTGAAATATATCAAATTTAAAAGTTTTTCAGAGTGTAGGAGATCATTTATTAATATAAATGTTTAAAGATGATCCATGTAGGGGGAAGGAAAAGGACACTTTGCAATCGTAGTTCTCTCTGTGATGGCAGGAAGTAACTTAAAAAACACTAAGTTATTAAAGGAGAGAATTAAAAAACCAAGGTGGACCTCTGCATTATAGATGCCAAGGAGGATTATATCCAGAGCTATGTGTTATCCTAAAACAAGACTAGGAAGTCTGCTTTCTTAGAGCCTTTAATTCTATGAGCAGAATTGTTAGATCTAACTGTAGGCTGATGAGATTATAAATGTGCACAGGCATGCACACACACACATTTGTGAGTGACGGTGGGTGTGGTGTTGGTATTGGTGTACTTCATTGCTTTTTAACTCATCTCATGACAAGAACAATTGCCAGTTCTGATATAGTCAAAGGGGCTAGAGACAGTTACTGAAGTGATGCTTGGCATGGTCATCTGATTATTTAGAATTTGCATGATATAAAAATATCAGACTTTTTTTTTTTAGGTGTGCCATATGTCTAAAACTGAAACACATAAATACACACACATGCACGTGCATGCACACACACACACCACCAGATAAATAAACAAACATAACCAAACAATGGCAAAACAACAAACGTAAACATAAGCCAGCCAATGGGTCAACATATTTTTTATTTGACTAGAATTTGGTTAATGGTGTTAATAACATTAAAGTCATGATGTCTATTATTGTACTGGCCCTTTTGCTTGGCATAGAGAAAAACTGTTCCACAAATTATGAATTATGCAGTATTACCAGTAATTTCCATCATCTATGCCTTGCGTGGTGTAATCCACAGCCATTGCTGGGGAAAAAATTCTAAGTCAAGGACTGTCTGTGGTTCAATGATATGAATAGCATTGTTAAAAAATGCTGAACAGAGAAAGGGACTAATAAAACAATGGTGTCCAGAAGGATTTTTATGGGTCATCTTCCCAGAATAAATAAATCAAATATACATTAGAAGAACAGAAAAGAGAGATTTCATCAGGACTTTAGATGAAAAGGTTTGAAGGAACTATTCAGTTAACTGGCTCAGAAGAATGTTGTTATGTTTGGAGATGGAATAAGTTGTAGTGGGGTAGTCAATAACTAAAGATACTATTAAAGACGGAGGTGGATGAGTGGTTATGTAGAGAGCAATCTAATTCCAGCCTTAAAAAAGTGGTTTCAGTTTTATGTTGGAGGTGATCATGAATAGTGCAGACTCCTAAAGAAACAGTATCAAAGCAAAGGTAAGATAGGTTCCGTACACTTCTGGGTAACATACCATAAAAGAGATGTATCGTAGAAAATTTTACAGACAGAAAAACATTAATTTTAACTTATGGTAATTATTCTATACTTTTTATGGAGAGGGAGATCATTGAAGAATACAGATATTAAGGAGGTTATTATAGGTCCAGAGATGATGTCATTGGAACGTTAAGTTGTGACTGCTGGCAGACAAGAAGACATAGATTATTCCAAGAATCTTTTAACCTCTTTGGGCGTCCATTTCTGGTAATATCAGAAGACTAAAAATAATTTCTAGGACTTTTTTAGATTTAAAATTTTATGATAGATAAGCTAGTAATACTGCAAATAATGGATCTGTGCATATTTCTCCATATCGGGTTACTTTTGTGGAGTGTTAGGGATGGTTTCAGTATTTTGAGACTCCTTGGGTCAAAGGAACTTGGTAGCTCCGTTGACTGTGGGGAAGGTGTGGACTTCTTCAATTCATTTCAGTAGGTTTATTCTTTTCCTTGGTTTTGTTTTGTGTGTGTGTTTATTGAATTGTTTGTTTTACTATCCATATTTCTTTTGAGAATAAAACTTTTGGCTCCCAAATAGCATATTCATATCAGAAGGGAAAAAAATGTGGTGAAATTTGAAAAAATTATAAAAGCCAACCTGTTTTGCTTTCAATGTTCCTGTGGTATTACTTTTTTTTTTTTTTTTTTAGAGAGAGATAAAGAGGAGAGGGGGAGGGGCAAAGGGAGAGAGAAAGAGAGAATACTAAGCAGTCTCCACACTGGGTGTGAAGCCTGACACGGGCCTCGATCTCACTACCCTAAGATCATGACCTGAGCTGAAATCAAGAGTCAGATGCTTAATTGACTGATTCACCCAGGCGTCCCCCTGTGGTATTACATTTTTATGAATGAAATGGGAAGTAGTAGATCTTGTTGATATGATATCAAGGCATTTAAAATAGACCTGATGGAACTTAACTTGAGTCCTTCTTATAGGTTCTGAAGGGAAATTGCAGTAAGACTTTTTGTCACAATAACCAACTAACTAGAAAGCCTGAGGCAAAGGAAATCTACAGCCAACTGAAGTAGGTTAAGTTCTTAAGTATGAAACTGGTACAGGAATAGCATTCCTTATAGAGGTTGGCTAATAACTATTTCAAAAAGAGATTTTACTTCTTTAACATCAATGGCAAAGTTTATCTTAATGAAGTCAGTAGGCCTTTTATTTTCCACTGATAACACCTATGCTGATCTAACTCTTTTGAATATCTGTTGCATCTCAAAGAAATAGAGATATTGAATTAATAGTCACTGTTTTGGATATTGGCTTGATGCCCTGGCAAACAGGAATGTGTGCATGTGTGTGTGTGTGTGTGCAGATACATGCATGTACACAGTTTTCTCTGTGCTCCCCCTCATTTTACCTTAGAACAAAACTAGTCCCCTCTGATTCAGGATAATTGTTACCTGGAAGTCTTGCCCCACACATGTATTATAAAGACACAGAGAGAACCCAAATCTAGTATATATCAATCATATGCACTCTCAAATCTTGCATATATTTTCTTGTGCCTGCTTTGTTTTTCTGCTATATTTATTAGCATATGGACCATGCATTAAATTTATGGCAACCTTCACTT